TAAGAGTCTGTTATCAAAAGGTTAACAAAGCTGCCACAAAACTTCTTTTCTGATTTAGGATGTTGATGTCAAAGACTGTCATGACTTCATTGCACAGTGTGGTTCACCTTGTAGTAGATTACACAACAGCCTGGTAGAGCTAGAAAAACTCAAGTCTGAAAACACTTACTAGTACATGCTCATAAATGTTTCGAGGTTTTTTCAAAAGCTCAACAGTAGGTGCTCTTTTCTTTGTCTGAGAGACAAAGAAAAATGAAGTCATAACAGCCCTCAGACAGATTTTTATGAGTCTAAAGGCCAAAAGTAATGTCTGGCACAGATTATTTAACTGGACTAAAGGGGAAATTAATTCCTTCTGAGGCAGGGAATTTGATTTACCATTTCCTTAAGGCTTTTGCTAGAATTGGGAGCACGAGAGCCTGGTCTGGTATGTGATGCCACGGGAGCTTTTGCCACTGTCATATCTTGTCAGGACAGGCTGACCATTGTGGATAGGGCTTTTCTATCCTGTCAGAAAGAACAGAAAGAAACAGACTTTACCCCATAAAGGACTTCTCTGGGATTTCAGTCAAGGCTTGGTGTCCCTCTGTCCCTCCTTTGTAGAATCTGTTTTCCCAATATCCTGTAATACCAAGCCCCGGAAAAGGAGCAAAACCCAACAATAATTCAGACAAGATGAAAGTGCTGCTGGTAGTTTGTAAAAAGGCTCTGAAGGAGAGGGTGCCTTTCCCCAATCCCAAGGAAACATGTCCATGACTGAGGTAGGTACTTCTGTGTTCAGGTTGCTTCTGAAGTCTCCAGAGGTTTCATTGTTTTTCCTTATGAATATGTGCCTGCTTCCCTGTAAGTGTGGTCTTCCCACAGCCACCTTCCCTGCCCTGACTCCAAGGGGACTTATGGGGTGTGTTAATGCCACTGTGCAGCAGCCAGGATTGGACACTGATGGGAAAATCTATATAAAACAAGGAACTGAACACTTCCAAAGGTAACGATGTCTGTGTGTGATTTCTTGTTTGGCTGCACTGGCTAAAGCTGTAGCTGCTAACTCAGCAGACTGTAAGTAGACACTATTGTCTTTTCTGTGAGTTCTGGCTGCAAATCAGGATGTTAATAATATCTGGGGAGCTATAGGAGGCTTGGATCCCATCTATCAGGAACCACCTCTCTCTCCACACACAGGAGCAAGAGTGGGGTGATGATCTTGCTGACAGTTCCCTAGTTTAGCAATGAGTGGCAGGCACTTGTTGGGGAGATCTGTACCGACTCCATTATTTATTAAGCCATCACTTAGGATCCAGAACGGGTGTATTTATTTGTAAGGAAGTCTGTAAAAATCTTGATGGCTGTTCTAACATATGTTTATGCATCAGAGTCAATGCTAGGGAGATGCTTTCTTTTTAAATTAGGAACAAAATATCTCCTAAAAGCAAAATATCTGGATGTGTTGTTATATTCTTTCCTCAACGCTTACAGCAGCACTGGGAGAACACCCCAGCCAAGCTGACAGGCAGCCAAATATAATTTATGGCTTGTTTTAAACTGATTTGTTGACTTCATGAAAGGCCCTGTCAAAAAGAACAGTCCCCTGAGTCCTAACAATGATAACAGTTATATTGCATCAGCGCTGAAAAACTTTTGGATAACAGTGAACCTACCCTGAGAAATCTTCTTAAAGTGCCTGAACATTGGATTTTCTGAAAAGAAATGAAACTCAAGCTATTGTTTCATAGTTCATTTGCGTTTTCTTCATTCTTTGTTCATCTTATTTTCCACTGATTGAAATACTCTCTTGGTAGCATGAAAATAGTTTCCCTTATTCCAGTTAATTAAAAATAAAGAAGCGTGTTGTTTAAAGGAGATGCTGCTAACAAGGACTCGTTTGATTTCTCTTACGTGCAGTGATATCAACGTGTTTGTGTCTGCATCAGTCTGAGCCAGAGCGGACACTCCTGAGCCTCCTATCAGCTGCATTTCTCCTCTCTGTGTCTCACTGAAGCAAAGGGCAACCCCCACGTGCTGTTTGTGCCTGTGCTGTTCAGAGCTCCCTACCCAAGGGCAAGATACACGTCCCCTGCTGTATCTGACCCTCATCCTGGGGAGCTCCCAGCCACAGACCCTGGCTCCTGTGCCACCGTCCTCCTCGTCCTTGCCCCATGGCCGTGCTGCTGGGGCAGCCTTGCCTCAGCCTGGCTGGGAGAACAGTGAACACAGCTGCAAAAGACCATCTGCTTCCTAAGGCCATTCCTCCTCAGATTTTTTAACAGTCTTATCACCACTAAGCTCAGTAGTGTTGTTTCCTTGGTCAGAGTTCTTCCTGGTGGAAATACAGTCCTTCAGTCAGAATATTTTAAATCTTGGTAAATTTGATGTGTTTTCTCTTGTCTCCCCATCTTTACCTGAACCTGCACGCCAGATTTACAGTCCTGCAGCTCTGCAATTTTTCATTATCCTGACTACCTTTCTGTAGGTCTTACTTGGTGTTGCTGAACATTAGGAGAGCGAAATCCTAGCTTACAGATAAAACAATATCACAGGAAGAATTATAAATATGTTCTTGTCCAAGCACATAACAATGAGCGAGCCTGACTGTGACAGTTTGGATCTCTGGTTTCCTCCCAGCACCGTGGGAAAAGGAAGCTGCCTCTGTGCTTAGACAGCAGCGACTGCTTTCTACATCTGTGAGGGGGTCAGCCCCTCCTGGGCCCTGCCAGCCCCGGGGACACCGGGGTGCCACAGTTCCTGCTCCAGGGACACCGGGGTGCCACAGTTCCTGCTCTGCCGCTCCTGCTCTGCCGCCTGGCACCGGGCTGTGACCAGGGCTGGGGGTACCCGGCCCTTGCAGAGAACATCTGCAGGACTTGGGGAAGCAGGGGAAGTTCTTGCAAACTGCTGTGATTGCAAGTGTATGAGATCAATCCAAGGGCCTGATAGAAACTCCAGCAAAGCAGATGCACAGCCCCCTGCCCTTCAGTAGGGCGTTTTCTTGATCGGGTTTGGATGAAGGAAATGACATGTCATTTTTAATACAATTATTTCCTTTTTGTGAAACTAAAAGGAAATAATTGTATTTACAATGACATGTCTTTTGCCTTCATTTTAGGAAAACACAGAACAAAATACAAATCTGTTTTGTGGAGAGAAAAAAAGAAAAGTACTTTAAGGCAGAATATGTTTTTGTACAATTTCTTGTGGAGAAGAACTCCTAGTATTAATTAATGAGCCAAAACTAGAATTATTGAAACAAGTGAGACCTCTGTCATTTACTTCAGGCTGAGCAGGTTTTCATACACGTCATAAACAATTACAGTAATTTTCTTTTACCATCTAAACAGTGGCAGTGCTGTGCAACCCACATGGCAAGGCTCTTGTTTTCTCTAAACAAAGTAGATCTTGCTTATTTTATTGGTAGCTGCAGCTGGGCAGAAGGTGTGTGGCATAGTTTGGTGTCTGTGGAACCAGAAAAGAACATTGGATTTTGGTGCTGCAGAAAAATATTCAGTGTTGGGGTTTTTTCCTCTCTTGGAGGTAAAATTGTTCTAGCTGTTGAAGGGGGAGAGTTGGTGTTGGTGTTACTTCTAAAGGCTATTTCTTGACATTCATATTTCACAAATAACAGGAAGGATACTGTGGTTAACGTGTGGTTGCAGTTCTGGAAAGTGGCAATACAAATTACAATCTGTGATTCTATATTTTATTGTCTTACCCATAACCATGTTGGATCTGCATAGATTAGAAGTAAAAATATTGTAGGCAACTTTATAACTATCAGTGTAAATTCACCTTGACCCTAGGAATGTCAAACTATGACCCTGGCCAAAGCATCACAATGAAGAATATCCTAGTACAATTTATTTAATAATTCTCTTGATGATCAAAGTATCAGATTACATCTATTTCATCTATTATGGCTTGTGAAGAGGAATGGAATTGTGCAGAAAACTTTTATTATCACTAAAATTGTAACTCTGACTTGCAACAACACCATTTTATGTAGTATCATTCAATATTTTGAGGTGTGGAATTGGATTTCTGAACTTGTAGTTCACCCTTGAAACTGGTATAGGAATTTTGGCACAGGGAAGCATTTCCCATAATCAAACCTTTGGTGATGCCCAGATTTGAAGGTGCCTTCAGCGTGCAGGGTGTTCTTAAGAACCTTTTTTCTATGCAACAGCCAGTAGAACTTGTTTGAAAGAGCCTTGCTAGGCCAGAACATCAAACACTACATCCCAGTTGCAGCCCTCCCATCAGCTCTTTGGTCCTGTGCAATACAGCAAAGGTTAAAGCATACAAACAGCTGAGTGAGCTCACTTTATCTTTGTTTTGAAATCATAAAATATCTTTAATTTAAGAGGTAGATAATGGTTTTGCTTGAGAGAGTCACGTGGCTGAAGCTGAGTGGATTTCAGATTGGACATTAGGAAGAAATTCTTCAGAGAAAGGGCGATGGACTGCCCAGGGAGGTGGTGGAGTCACCATCCCTGGAGGTGTTTAAGGAAAGGCTGGATGTGGTACTTAGCTGACAGGGTGGTGATCGGTCACAGGCTGGATTCGATGATCTCAGAGGTCTGTTCCAACCTAAGGGATCTGTGTTTCCGTGACTTGCCTGGGCTCACCGCGGGAGAGCAGTAGGTGCTATGGCCAGCGTTCCTGGGAAGCTCACAGGGGGCTTGAACCCGAGGACGAGGCAGAAGCTCCGGGTGTCTGACAGGCAGGCCCCCGAGCTCAAACATGACGCAATCTCGGAGACTGCTGAACATTTTTTTCTTGTTGTTACAGCGTTTTTTGTGAATCCTGAGCTCACGCGTCCCTGCTGACAGCCTCTCTCACAGGCAGCCTGCATGGGGGGGGGCCGTCCGTGGCCTTCCCAGGAAGGTCTAGCGGGGCCTTCCCGTTCCCTCGGAGCCGCCCCTCGCCCGCAGCTCCCGCCCGTGGCGGTGCCCTCGGCCCCGCGCCCCCTCCCTCAGCCGGCGGAGCTCCGCCCGGCGGCCCCGCTCTGCCTACCTGGAGCCACCTCTATGGTGCGGGGCGGAGCCGGGCGGCGGGGGCGGTGCGGCGGGACGGGCGCCCAGGCCGGCGGCTGCAGCGACTCCCCTTTGTGTCTGGAGCCGCCCGTGCTGTTGGGGCGGGCGGGCGAGAGGGGGCGCGGGCGGCGGAGCTTCGGCCCTCGCTCGGCTCCCGCCCGCAGCCGGCGGCGGACAGGGGAAGGAGGCGGAGCGGCCCCTCGCCGGCGAGCCCGGCGCGGGGGGAGGAAGGCGCTGGCAGCGCGGAGGGGCTGAGCGGAGACCGGCGTGAGGAGGCCGGGCTAGGCTGCCCGGCGCTGTGGAAACTCGGGGCGGGAGGCGGAGGACGGGAAGGGCCTTCGCCCGCGTAGAGCAGCCGGGTGCGCTCGCAGCTGGAGCCGCCGAGGAGGGGCCTCGCCGCCCCGGGCCCCACCTTTGTCGGGGTGGCCGGGGGTGGCGTCGGTGCTGCGGCGGGGGCCGGGGCAGCGCGGAGGAGCCCGCCCGGCGCGGGAGGCAGATGGGCCGGGATGCAACCGCAGCCCTCGCCGTGAGAACAGGGGGCCTCGTCGCCGCCTTCCCCGGAGCGTGAGGCAGCGAGGAGGGGCGGCCAGAGGACAGAGACCTTTGCCGGGATGGGACGCGCCGCCGCCGTGAGCGCCTAGCTCGCTCGCCGTGCCCCGGCCAGCCCGCAGGGCCCGCGCTGACTGACACCGCTGTGGGCGCGTCTGGATATGTTCCCTTCCCAACCGGGCGCTTTCTTCGATGTCGTGAAGCTGCGTGGGAAATAGCCCGGTTCCCAGCGGGGTCGGGAGCGTGCCGCCGTCCTCCCCGGCGGGGGAGATGCCGCGGGGCTGGGAGGCAGAGCCAGGCGCTTCCCCCGTGTCCGCTGAGCGCTGCCGGCTCCCGAGGCATGAAGGCAGGCGGCTGTAATGGAGTAAGAGCGAAGACGGCTCCTCTCATCTGCCATTTGCCCTTCCAGACGGGATTGTAAACCAAGAGAGTTAAGGAAGGCTGTGCGAAAGCAAGAGGAATTTCGTCTCTTCGGGATTTAGCTTTTTTTTTTTTTTTTAAACCCCCCTTTTTTTTTCTGCTGGCGGCTCGAACCGTGGCTTGCCCAGGTATGCCTGCCTCACTGCAGCACCTTGAGCTGGTGCTCCTGCTCTCCAGTGCCACCCTACTGCTCGGCACTGCGGCTGGTGAGTAGCCACTGGGTGGAACGAACTGGCCATTTTGGCAGCGGGAAGGGGGTGGGGTCCGCTGGTATTTGGGCACATCGGTGCCTCCTTACAAAGTACTGGGCATTAATTTCAGCGGCGAAGCCTGATAAAAGTTTTGAAATCGTGATACGTTAAGTGTCTCGGGGAATAAAATCTGCTTTATTGTGTAAATGAGCTCGACCTGCACTCAGTAAGAATGCTTTGCTTAGATCTGCATGTCTTGTCTAATAACTTACTTCAGTTTTGGAAATATATATAATCTTTTTGTTTTGCATACCTCGCCCTTTGTAAGGTAATGCAGGAATTTTTAATATATATTTTAATCGTCAGCAGAGCTGTGCCTGTTTCGCTGTGGGATCTTCGGGCACAGCCATTTTTAATTTTATCAGCATCGGTGCTTCTCGGGGCCTTACACATGTGCTGTAGTTTTGTAACAGAATTACTGTAATGTGTATTTTTTTTTCCCCTGGAGAGATCTGAAGCAAATATGGAGCTATTTCTTTTGTCACTTGTGATTATAGAACACAAAAAAACGCTATTAGGGAATGCTGAAAGGTCTTGAAGGGTACTCTTTTTTATGACGAAGTTTGAAGCAGAAATGCTAAGAGCATCCTTACTCGTATATTTGGATACTGTAGTCCTATTTTTAATTGTCTTCGGAAGCTCAGTGTTAGATATGCAGGGTGTTGGAAAAGAGATGTATGTTGGTCTGGCATCCTTTGCTTTTCTGTCACGGTGACAGATTAACGTGTTGGAGCCCTCGAGTGTAACCCAGCTTTGTTAGGCAGGAATACCAATTGTTCTTGCAGTATGCTTTTTCCAGCACTTTTGGAAGACTCCTACGACTTTTCTGTCGTTTTACTGATCGGGATCCAATCTGCAGTGCTTGCTTTTCTTCCTGATATTTTGTAATCTTCTGGATATAGTTCATAAGCGAATCTTCAGAGGAAAATTGCTGAATGTTGCTAGGATGACCCAACAAGCATGGTGGTTTCCATGTTATATTTCAGTGAGGTCTTAAAATTAATTTGTCAAAGTTGAAGATACTTGGTGCCATTATTAGGAAAATCCTGTAAATGACACATGTTTAGGCAGTTTTCTCTGACTGGATAGTCCCTGATTTTCTTGCTTCTGCTTACTAAGAGGTCTCTTTCAGGAAGATTCATAAATGAAAAGCTCGATGTTCCCTATATCATCCTGACCTTTGACTGCCATTATTTTCGATGGATGTCTGCAGCGTCTCTCTGTGGTCGTTTCTGAGGAATGTTTTTGGTTTATTCCCCTCTTTTTTTTTTTTTTCCTGGGAGAAGGGACTTCTGAAGGTCAAAAATCTTGGTATTAAAGCACATATGAACCAAGAATGTTCAGCATCAGCATCTCAACTTTTTTTTCAAATGAATTTTTTTATAAAGTGTAGGTTTTTTTTTGCCTTTGTGAAAACTTCAGTGAGTTGGTCATTTCTGTGCCCTGATGAAGAAGGGTTCCTGAAGGAGCAAGCACAGATTTGTAGCAGGCCAAGGGCTGGGCAGGTGCTGTAAGAGCCCATTTGCACGGTTTACCCAATTCACTTCAGTTCTGACCTGGCAACAGCATTCCCAGTATTTCAGTTCTGCCTTGTTAAAAGGGTGTTAACGGTGCCAGCTTGGTCGGTTGGTTTGTGAATAGGAACCTATTTTCCCATTGTGATTTATTTCTTAATTGTGAAATTTTAACAATTCACATTTTAAAAAAAAACTTGGTCATAATCCTCTGTAAAAGTAATTACATGGATGATTTGAGCTTTAGTTAAGGAAGCTAATGGCTGATTTTAAGTTTACACTGCATTTCAGAAAAAAAATGTCTATACATGGGGAAGCTACACTAATGTGTAATTCTGCCCTTTTATGTTCATGAAAGAGCCAACACTCTTTCTTCTCTTCCCCTCCCCCAAAGTATGAACTGTATGCTCCCATCAGAGTGAAAATGCTGCCTTTGTAGCTTTGAAACCCCTATTAATTCTTTCTTCTGATTAGTGAACAGATACTATATCTCAGCAGTGTATAGAATTGAGTGCCTATAAATGCAGAATCATGACATCAGAGGGAAAGTATTTTGATAACAGGTTTTTAAGTTTCTGTCTGGAGGAGAAGAATATCTGGACCTCTCTGGGGAGAACTCCACAAAGACCTGGGTTTAGTATGGACAGGAAAGGGAAGATGAAACAATGAATAAAGAAGATGACACAAAAAATCTTACCATGGGGTTGTAGATGATAGTTCCACTCATAATCTGGAATATGAATGAAGCAAGAAGGTGGCTCTTCCTTCCCCTTTCTAATTGAAGATATAATAAAGAACTAGCTCTAGATGCAGAAATATTTGCTGATTATTAGGAGGAAAATATTACTGGTTTCCTCTTTAAAATACAGATCTTAACAGTTATCAGATAAGTCTGCATTTAAATAATGTATTAGTCTTTGTAAAGAGAAATGCTTTAGTGAGGATATTTTACTGACAGCAGTCTTGGGTAGAGGTTTAAAAAGCAGTATTGGAAAAAAATGGTTTGCAACATTTTGTTCTTTATTTTTCAAATTCTTTTAAATAGTTATTTCTAAATCTTTTGTTTAGAACTGGGAGACATATAAAAATATGTCTTTATATTGTAGAGGATTCTAGTGTGTTCATCATGAGGGTTTGTGCCTGAAAAGGTGGTTGGTGAACCTTTGAGCTGTTCCCCAGTATTGCAAAAGAATTTTGTTTGGGTGTTCGTATGGACCAGGTATTAAAGATACAATCTTTCCTCATTTCACTTGCTTACGTTCTGTGATATGCAATACTGAACCACTTTTCCTTCTGCATACATGGCCAGGGTAGACAGCATTCCATTGTCTAATGTGTAAATTATTTGCAGAAAGTATAAGGTGAAAATTAAAGCAAACAGAATATCCTTTTATCTTTGGGAGTATTTTCATAATTCTGTATCTGTGCAGTTCAACAAGGCTGCAAAAATTAAAGCATGGAAGGAATCGGATAGAAATTGAAAATTTTTTAATGATAATTTTAATTATTAATTAAAATGAGTGAACTGAAGTATCTTTATCTAATTCTGCCGTGCTCGTTTAAGTTACTTTAGTATCTCAACATAATTTGTCTGAAATGTGAATTGGGTGAAATGAGGAATAATCTCCTTTGGATATTCAACTTAGTTCTTCTAATTCAGTGTTTCAAATTAGTAACTGACCCTGTGTATCTTGCATATTAAACAGTGGGGTTTTTTTAAACTTATCTGCACCCTGATTTCTCCTTATTTACAAGAGCTACACCCATTGTTTATGTTTTTTTCAAATGTAACCTAAAAATTCTGCTTATTTTTCTGTTTGTGTTGGGAGTCGTCTCAGAAATCCTAGCCTGGGAAATGGAGGCCAGGCTGTTGGCTTGGGGTGCACACTGGTGCCTGAAGGATAACCACAGCACAAGTGCAGCCTGGACACCAGGCTGGGCCTTCATGGGCTGTGGGCTTGTGTAAAGAAATTGTGTAGCTGTGCAAGCTGTTCTCCCTGCTGGGAAGAGCCTTTTTTCCTTTAGGTGAATCAGCCTGTGTGAGCCTCTGTGATATTTTGGCTCAGGCGCTTCCAGTTCCCAAGCAGACTTCAGTACTGGGACACTGCACTGTGCACTGCTGGCACAGCCTGTGAGGAGATGGAAGCTGTGCTCATCTGGTGGCCAAGGAACTCAAATTTCAAGCCCTGAGACATTACACAGATATCTTGCTCCAGTGTGAATGGTTTTACCCTCAAAGGCACCGTGTATAAAAAGTTGGCTCAATTGTCTGCCTGTCCTTCTCTGATGAAGGCAGGCCAACCTCACTTCACCCTGGACAGAGAGAAGCATAACTGGATTTCTTAAAATTTTCTTACAGTGAAGTTTGTTGAAGAGGTTACTTTGATGGCATCTCCCTAGCACTTACTACAAATTTCTGTAAAAAAATATTTGTTGAGTTCTGCATTGTTGTTCCCCTTTTTATATTTCATTAGGTATTTATCAGTCGTTTGTATAGTCAGTGGAATTGTTTCCTTGGTAAATACCATTTTCCTCTGCCTTTCTCACTGAAGAGACAAGAAATTTGTATTGGGTTCTTCAGCAATGTTTTATTCCTAACAACAGAGTGCCTGGTACTGGAGCTGCATTGTGTTTGGACTCAGTCTGGCTGTGCTATGAACATGTGCTGTCATTTTCTGGGCAGAATATAACTTTATAGCCAGGGCTGTGAGCTGAGTGTAAAGTTTCATTTGGAACAAAATGTTTATGCCCTGAATAAAACAGGCTGGGTGATGATTTAGGTTGGGTAGGACTGGAATCTGTGCATAGCTTGCAGGCAGTAACTATTAATTTTATTGAGATTGTAGACATAGTAGAGCTACTCACTGCTTGATTTTGAATTTAAGAATAAGTGAAATACAGGAATTGTTCCCCAAAAGACTAACATTTCAGTATGCAAACTGATTTTCTACAGTGTGGATTTTATAGTGTTTTGTTTTGGGGGTTTTTGTGGGTTTTTTTTTGGTTGGTTGTTTTTTACCTGTTTGTGATTTTTGGTGGTGTAGTGTTTTTTGGGTTTTTTTTCCATGTTATTTTTTTTCTGAAGCATAAGTTTACAGAAGCATAAGGCTGGAAGTTGTTTCTCTGTTTCCTCCATGGCCTGGTAGTGTAAGTACAGATAATGATGTCTGTCTAACATCTCTAAAATCTCCAGTGAAGAGGGATTTCACAGCCTGTCTAGGTAGTCTGGCCTGTTACAGTGCTTAATTATCATGTTTTTCATAATGCAACAGTAGTAGATTTTTTTGCCTCTTTTATAATGCAAGATTGTTTAAGATATGCCATAATTAATATGTGGCAATCCACCTGAAAATGTAATGTAGTATGCATACACAGGCAATTGCCAGGGAATACCAGTTTAGATAAGTTCCTGTCTTTAAGCTTTTGATCATCAGTGTTTTG